CTAGTCAACAAATATTTTATTAAATAATGAAAATCAAAGTTGTAAGCAAAACTGTATGCAAAATAATTTAAAATACGCATAAAAACATATTCAAAACAAACTTGTTTGGCCGCCACGTCACATTGAATTTTCCTTTTTGACAAATGGATTGAATTGCCTAATAGTTCCGTGTTGTTTGGAATAGGTAGTAAATATGGCGTCAAGTCGTACTTGAGCTAAGACGCAACCTTGAGCATCGACTATGAATACGGGGGTTAATTGCCTCTCTGAGATCAGACCGGATATTACCTCTTCTACATTTGAAAACGACGAAAAAAATAACCACATACTGAAGCGCGAGCATTCCATTGCGAGTTAGGTCATCACTAAAAGCTGCTGATAGTGACGTCACTCGCAGGCCCCAAATTTGATGGCGAGGGAGTTAGGGGAGCTATGACACAATTGACACATCACATAATCCAGCATAATCAGATTATGCTCGATTATCCTCGCGAAGAATTGCCTAAATTTATCGGTGATTGCAAGGAATACATACTACTACTATAGGATAGCTTATCCTCATAAGGCCTGTGTAGTTTACATCTCAAACACAACCTTGCCCTTCACCATGCCAAAGCACCAGTGATGACGTTACAGCGTGTCGTTTCTCGTCTTGACGTAGGGCGTTTGAACTTTGCACCACAGGTTATGATTTCGCAAGCTTTTGCTTTTTGCATACTTGGTTTCACTAAATTAACATTCTAAATTCTAAAACAATTTTTTTTTAGATCTCGTTTGCATCTTCATCCTCTTTGCCTATTATGTTTATCAAAATATAACAATACTTTTCATCATAAAGGACCACGCACGTATCTTATGAGAAAAAATAAATTTCACGATTGACATGAAATTGAAATATACGTTATGCTTCTCGACCTCCTGAACGTAAGTTCTCGTAGGTCCAAAAAGATCCTATGATTAGTTTCAAAGCTTCAGATGACATTACTGTGTGTGTTACTGTGGCATTTTTCCACCCGTTTTTAACCTAGAATATGTCATTGCCTGAACTCAACATATTTTGAAATGTTTATTTTTTGTCAAAAGTTTGTATGTTAACCCGGCCCTGTATTTCCGAAACTAACCATAGGATCTTTTTGGGCCTACGTACGGAAGCCCGGTCGTGCAATCTGTCTTCCGAGTTCTTAGTTCATCGTTCTGACGTCACAACTCGGAATTTCTGATTTACTACGTCACAACTCGGAATTTCTGATTTACTACGTCATAATTCGCAAATGCTCATTTATTGCTACTTGCTAGTTTGGTGAAAATTGAAAATATAGTAGTTATAGGTATTTATTATTTTCTGTCTGAGAATAGTATGTAATATTATTTGCAATATAGATTATTTTTCCCACGCTAGGACAAAATGATTTGAACAGGGCGTGTTTGGGTTGACGCTCCGCGGAACGAGCAAAGCGATTACGGAGTAACGTGACGTCACAGGGAGTACACCGGTCAAGCCAAATAAACTATTGCAAAGACGCAAAACTGCTGGGTTGAGCGATCAGCTGGAGCAGCTGATTTATTGTTTATTTTTTCAGTATGTATATCCACCCATTGTGTCCACCAGATTTTTCTAGTCGATATTTTATTTTTCAAACAGCCTCATTTTCTTTTGTGTTCCGCTAAAATTGTGTCGTACTTAATAGTTAAATAAACAAATAATGGACCTAAACACTGCCAAGTTCGTTTGGGAGAATATGTGACGGGGACTACCGAGAAAATTTAATTAAAACTAGACAATGATGTAGAATTTAGTAACTATTTGATTGTTAACATTTAAATAAATGAACTAAAACTATCCAGCTAACAAATAAATGTTAAAATTTAGGATTGTTTATTTATCTTAGGTTAGGTTGTTTGCGGCCTGTGCAGTGCAGTGTCCACGTACGCTCCAGCTGCCCGCTCTCATTTACAGATTAATCTCAGACAAAAAATATTTAATTATAACTATTATATTTTCAATTTTCACCAAACTAGCAATAAATGAGCATTTCCGAGTTATGACGTAGTAAATTAGAAATTCCGAGTTATGACGTAGTAAATCAGAAATTCCGAGTTGTGACGTCAGAACTATGAACTAAGAACCCGGAAGACAGATTGCACGACCGGGCTTCCGTACTCATTGTTCCGTACCTACGGGAACTTACGTTCAGGAGGTCGAGAAGCATAACATATTTGAATTTCATGACAATCGTGAAATTTATTTTCTCTCATAAGATCCGTGCGTGGTCCTTTAAATTCTAAACTACAACCACTGGCGCAAACAGCTGACGATTTAGCTAATTAGCCGATTAGCAATGCTGTGTAGTAGTGTGATTATCCTTGAACGCTATCCACATATTCAGGTCGGTGCTCCGAGCACATTACAGGGTCACGGGTCACAACAAAAAACAAGTTTATTCGGACTTAGTTTCCTAACCAGTTCTGGTCCCTCTGGATGTGCTACCCTCCGCTTGAGGAAATATCACACTTTGCTTTAGATTTTCGACTGCTCCCTTTCTTCCCCCAAATCGTAACTTGTTAAGGTCAATTCTCACTTAGGCTTCACTCAGCTCGGCGCGAGACGACGCGGTGCTGAAAATTGTCGCTAGATAAATATTTCATTGTTTTAAATAAATAGATTCCCACCTACACTTCAGTACACTTTACGACGCGTCGCATTTAAACCAATGAAATATTTACCTAGCGACAATTTGCAGCGCGTCGTCGTGTCGCGTCGCCGAGCTGAATGAAGCGTTAGTGAGAATTGACCTTTATTCAAATAACTAATTCGATTTCGACATAAGCGATGGTTTCAACGGTTTAAGGGCGGGTATTATAAAACTACTTTGAGAGTTAACTTGAGAGTTAACTTCTCAAATTACATGTAAATAAAAAAGTTAACTTCAAGTTAACTTTTTGAATTACATGTATTCTCAGAAGTTAACTTTAAGTTAACTCTAAAAGTAGTTTTATAATACCCGCCCTAAACCAACGATGTTTGAGAGAGGTAGGTTGCCTGATAACTTTATGACGTCATCTGGGGGGCCTCAACATAATGCAAATCTCCATAAGGCACTCCAGGCCCCAGACGCGTCATTACCCATTACCAAGCAACCTATGGACTTTAGGAACCTTGGGTTTGAACCACGGTTTGAACATACGATTCTTGTTTGATATCTCGTTGACTTTAGAAGTGCGTTCGAAATCGCGCTAGGCGTGACACCAAAGCTGTTTTCTCGCGGCCACTTTTTTGACATTGGTTCGAAACATTTTTTGAAACGGCAATGGTGTTACCATTGCCCGTTTCAAACCTGTTTTGAAAAAAGTGGACACGAGGAAACGGCTCAAGTGCATAAAGTCTGTTTTTTTTTTAAAGATAATTCCCCAAGTAAAAAATTTAGTAACTGTTGGTAACCAGGGTTGCCAGACGTCCCACCTTAGGAGGGACAGTCCCGCATTTTGTTAATCGGTCCCGCCTTTTTTTTTATTAATTTCAGGTCCCGTTTTTCACGTGAATTGTCCCGGTTTTCCTGCTTTTTCTACCCAATCTTCACATTTAGTGCAAAAAACGCTCATTTTACAACTTGTTACATAAATAGCTATTTCTTCATTTAAAATCGACGCAAAAGTCAAATACCGATACTGAATCGCAAGCATTTCATCAAGGTCTGCGGGTGACGTCACCACTATTAGCTGCTGACGTGGTGACGTCACTCGCAGACCATGTTGGAAAAACCATATTATAACATGGTCATAGAAAAAGTAGAATGTTTTACTCGTCAAAAATCATTTTTTGCAGCTTGAAAACATTACCAAACTCGGCTTCGCCTCGTTTGATGCTGTTTTCGTCACTCGTTAAACAATATACTATTATTAGAAGAAATTACAAATATGTATCACTATTAAAACTTGATTTGCATGATAAAAGTTTTTATATTTTTCCCGTCATCAATTTTTTTATTTGTCGTTCCATTCCTTTATACTTTATACTTCAATCTTTCTTAAAATACAAATAACAATAACCTGTAATAATACTGATAAGATCTAACAAACTAAATTTGGGCGTGGCTCCAAAAAATTTGTTGCGCTTTTGCTCAAGGCGGTCCATAGGTGGGGGGGGACATTGGGCATTTGCCCCACCACCCCTTATGCTTTTGGGCGTGGCAGTCTGGATAAGAACATCTTTAAAAAAAAAACAGATTTTACCAGCCATGAGTTAAAAAAAAAATCTGTTTTTATTTTAAAGATAAAAGTCAAAATGACATTATGTTGGCAATATAATGTAAAATTGTCAATGCTTTCAAATTTTTTATGCAGAAAAGGCTTGTGTTGCCAACATAATTACTAAATTTTTGACTTGGGGAATTATCTTTAAAAGAAAAAACATACTTTCCTTACGTTCGGTATTTTGCTCAGAGAGTAGAGCGTGATGAGCGGAGCTGGAATCACGTGACCAGCGAGCGCACAGAGCAGTAGAACGCTGTATTAGAGTACCAGAAATTTTAATAAACGAACGCGAATGAGCCTGCACCGAGTACACTTTTTAAATAAACGAACGGGAAATTCAAGTTCGGAGAACTCAGATCAAAATACCGAACGCACGGTTTATTCATGGCTGGTGTGCACTCGGTGTGACACCCAGAGTGATTTCGAACGCACTCTAGGCGTTTTCAATTATTCAACCGGAACCAGAGCATGATGAAAACGCTTTTTTTCTTATTTTCTCACTCTACTTGCTTTGAAAGGTTCGAACAAAATCGGTGAAATAGAACATGGAACATAATTAATGAGAAAACTGCCTGCGTAGGGTGAAATAACAAAATCCGCTGTTTCTTCGCGTTCGTGCGGCTCTACTTCTCTGTGTTCCTGTTTCCAACGCTGCCTCTACCCCGTTTGCTGTCAAACTCCAGAAGCATTCCCTCTGTCCTGTCACGCCTGTCAGTCCCGTCCCGTTCGTTCCTGTGACATTCCCGTCACTCAAAAAAGAAAAATGGAAAACACTCACTTTGTCCAGAACTCCTAATCCAGAAAACTCCTTTTTGTTTAACAAAAAACAAACTACACTATGAATACTTTTTGAATAAATAAACGTGAAAATGTCGAGTTCGATATTAAACGATCACAGTACAGTGTGTAGATGTTGCCTCAAAGTGCTGGATACCACTGGATTCACTTACATCGATGACGAAAATGGATATGTTGATAATGTTGGTAATGTTAGGGAAATGTTGCAATTTTGCGTTCCAGAATTGGTAAGGATGGACTCCTTATTATACCAATTATCCATTTAAATATTATAGTATTATTATTATTTTTCAAATCTCTTTGAAGTAAATAGTCTTGTTTAGGTGAATCTGCGGTGCCATGATAAGAATATCTGAAATCTTTTCTTGAGAATGTATAGATATTGGTTTACTTAGGTAGATGAAGAGGCAATTGATGTTATTTAAATTCTGTAGTTTGCATTAAAATATCCCAACATGAAAAAAATAAAAATTGTCTTGGCTTATTAACCAAGCTGGTACAGGGTTGGCAGGTACAGGTTTTTTTGAACCTAGGTTTTTTAGGTTTTTTAAAAAAACCTACTTCTCAAAATAAGTGCATTTTAGGTTTTTTAGGTTTTTTTGTTTTACAAAGTGTAATTTCAGTAGTAATTTCTTTCCAGTATGCTATACTTATATTTTATTTCTCGGTTTAGCTATTATTTGGTTAAAAATTTAATTATTTACATAATAAATTATAGGTATGGTACATACTTACATCACCAATATGTGTTACAACAATTACGTACTAAAAAAACCTAAAAAACCTCAAAAAACCTAAAAAACCTAAAAACCTGAAATTATTTTTCCTAATTAATAGGTTTTTTCCAACCCTGAGCTGGTACCTACTGGATGGTGTGTCAATTTCCAGCTCTTCAGTTATATATTTTATGGATTTAATAACCACTGTTGGCTCATTTCTGTTTCAATAACATTATCAGGGATAGATTAATTTAAATTATATGTTGATTAGGTAAGGTATAAGTATAAATACAAACAAGGCCTTAGCTACTCAAATACAAACTAATTTCTTGTTGATAAACATAACAAACCAGAGAGTGACCCACATTAGAATGAATCACATAAAAACTAAAAATAGATACATTTTATGTTTATTATAAAATAGAATGGGACACATTTATCAAATCGTTCACATGCATGCATGTAAAAATAGAATGCAGATTGGGATGTATTGGGCACAATCCATTATATTCAGTGTTAAAGAAAATATTAGAAGAAAGGTATCCTTGAAGGTACCTATTCTGGAAGGATTTAACTGATCTATTATTGCGGTTTTTAAGTTTTTGTAGCAGAAGCCTAAGACACTCTCTCTTAGTCAGTCAGAAGTGCAAATAATACCTACCTTCCATCACAGTTCATACTTGTACCCAAAGCTTTGATATTGACAAACACAAAATCATAATTAATTATTATTCTAGTCCTGAGAATCGTGGCGTGCACGACATCAAAACAGTTTTATTAAATCGATAGAAAGATCAGAGAAGCTGGAAATGTAACTTTCTGACTCAATTGAAATATTTCCATTACTTAATGTGTTTCTCATTAATTCAATATTAATGAATTAGTACCTATGCAAATGGACTTTCCTGAATTTCAAAATTTAAAACATTATTCAACTAACTTGTAATTTCTATAATACAAAAAATCCACTAACAATTTAATTTTCCATTGAAATTTCAGGATTTATACGTTTCAACTCAACCAGTAATTTGTTACAATTGCTTGCCGATTCTAGTGCAAATCTACAATTTTAAAATCAAATGCCTGAACGGTGAAAACCTCATAAAATCCTACATAACAAGAAACAATTTGTTTGATTACAATCAGGTGAATTTGAATTGCGTCCTAATGGACGATTTAAAAACGAAAAGCCAAAAAATTCAAATTGAAAGTCGAATCAAAGATATGATGCTTAAAGAAATACCAGAGAACAATGATTCGAATAACGAGCAGCAAGTTGTTCCAAATGATGTGACTCAATCTAAATCTAGTGCTAATAGTAATTATGACGTTAATATGGAGACAGAGGATGATTATGACGATGACGATGATGATGAAGATGAGGAAGATAATAATGATAAAGAAATGAAAGTTGAATTTGATGAGACCGAGGAAATTGATTTGAATTATTGTGAAAATATTGATTCAGCAGAGACTGAAAATAGAGAAATTATTGAACTAGAAAAAGATACAAATAAAAATAATGATGATGTAACTATTATTAATGATCCAACACAAATTGTAGCTGTGAGAAAAGATTTGTTTGATTACAAAAAAGAGCAACCCAATATAATCGAAGAACCAAAAGAACCTGCAAGGGTTATCTTAAATCAGGGCATGGTGGCCCAAAATGGAAGAATAATAATAAAAATTGACAAAACAAAACTGCAAAGCCTTGGGATTAAAACCTTAGCAACACAACTTTCGGAATCGGAACCAAAATTAGCTCCCATACAAGTGACAGTGCCCTCATCAAGTTCAGAACAGTCCCCGCCAGTGCCAGTGGCATGTACACCAAAAATTATTCAAGTACAAACAGTGAAACCTGCTGAAGATATCCCTGAGAATAAACCTAAATATAATTGTAACAAATGTGGCTTTGAAACTGATGATGTCATAAAGATTTATGATCATAATAGATCCACTCATAATTTCGATTACACTTGCCAGCATTGTCCGTTTAGTACTTCAAAAGTGGAACTGTTGGGCAAACACATGACTATGGTTCATCCTCAAAATATGGTCCAAAGAAGTTTACATTTCAAAGTAACGGAAAATTATGCTTGTTCCATGTGTCCTTTCAGCGTCAAAAGTCTAGATTTGCTTCGATCTCATCATTTGTCTGCTCACGGAAATGCTGATGATAAAGGTAACGACTGAACTCTATAAACATCAAACTTCAAAATAAATTTGTTTATCTTCTAGTCCCGATTGTTTTGAATTCAGCCTTCACAGAAGATTGTATTAGAACTGAGCCAAGAATCTTAAAAAGATTAGAGTATACTTGTGATGTATGCCCGTACACTACCAAAGATAAATCAAATTTAAGGAAACATTTATTTACTCACGGCACAAAGCCTTTGAAATGTGATTTTTGTACTTACAAGTGCGTTTCGCCTTATCAGTTACGAAGGCATCAGAAACAGAAGCATGGAAAGCAAGGGGAGCAAAGGGTAAGGATCTGTGTGCATGAGTTTTGAGTAATACCAGCCATGCTGTTTCTTAAAAATTCAAGTAGTTAATTTTTTTTTTCTTTCATCAGCCAAGAAATCAACCCTACATGCTCCCAGATTTTAAAAAACAAAATAGCGATGAAATGGATAATTTCAAAATAACATTGGAATCGATAAAACGCGAATTGGAAAAAGAAATAGCCACTTCTTAGGATTAGGCAATGTTATATGATAATTTAGTGAGAAGTAAAAAAGTTCTAGTCAGATGTCACCATTGTTAATAAGTTTTCTCTTGGGAATTTTTTTCCATTAAGATTATCTAATAGAAGTTAATGGAAAAAACCCAGCCATATTAAGAATATCTAGTCGGAGGAAGGTAATATTTATACACTTAGCATTCCTTTGACATTTTTTTTGTTTGTAAATACTATTTATTTTAATTTTTTTTGTTGTGTGCCATTTATTTATATTAGTGTTAAGGCGGAGCAAAGATGACATAAAACCCTATGACCAGCTAACTTGTGATGAAAAATCTGATGGCAAATGTCTTGATCAATGAAGCCTAAGCATATAACTAATGCCGAAAGTTTGTCTGAATACATTGAATTTATGGCCTCACTAAGATAACACACTCAAAACTAATAGGCAATATAGGAACATTTTATTTTCGAAATCAACTATTGCGATACCTTGTCCATTTCTGCCAGAACAAATCGGCAATCAAAACGGCAGAATTTTTGATTTTCTATCCATCTCATTGATCAATCTAACCTTTTATGGTTTAGGCTTTGATATTGTTATACTTCTTTGCTTGAAAAAATAGCAGACCCAGATATTCATGAGCAAAATCTCTTTTGAGTGGCTCAAATTTATATTATGATATGCTACATCTATGAACTATGTGTATGTGACTGTGAGTGAACTAGCTGGGTACCAATGAAAGTTGGAAAGGTCCATGACATAAATCAAAAATCAAAATTCATGAGTTTCAGTTGCTTCTTCTCAACAAGAACACTATAATTTATCGTAGGTACATACTTTGAACAGAATTCATTGTTAATGAATACATTTGCCATCAAATTTATTAAATTTGCTTGATGTTCAATGGCGTAGGATTTAATGTCCCTGGCTCTCAGACGTGTGTGTGTGTGTGTGCAAGGAAATCACCAAATATGCTTAAAGATAGTTTTTAGCCAAGTACCTATTCCCAAAAATTCTTTTCCTATTAAATTTATTTATTTATATACTTATATAATAATTCAAAGAAAACTAAACATGAGTTGTCATCGAAAAAATGTTATAAATGTGGTATAGTAGGTTTAAACTTTTAGTAATTTATTATTTATTTAAAAATATGTAGCAGTTGGATGAACTTTTATTTTGATAGCGATATGAAGAGTGAATATCAGCAATTAGTCTCTTTAATGTTTAATTTTTCACATTGAAAAACCAATTTATATAGTAAGTGAAATGTAGTTTTAAGCTTTCAAGCTATCTACATAATATATCGATTTTTAAGATGTGTTACCTATGTAAATATAAGTAAAAAGGTTTTTATTGTTTTCTATTTATTTTATTTTTTTTTTAACCATTTTTTTTTTTTTTTCTTAATTTGCCATATATGTTTTAGTTCTATTATTTGTTTCTGTGATATTTTTTTGTAACAATAACCAAAAGTACTCGTAACTATCTTGCAATGTAAAATAAAGATTTTTTGTGTAATACATACATTGTTTAGTCATTGATCCTTAACACTTTCTCTAATAAAGTTCAATCAAAATCTGTAATTACAGCAAGATTGCTGTTGATTTTTTTGTTTATAAAATAATTATTACTTCTTATGCAAAGTTGCCATTTTTAATTGATCACTCATAATCGCAATGTTGCTGAATAATTTTTGGTTTTCAAGATAATGTGGATAAAAATAATCTGCTTTCCGTGATATCTGATTACGATAAAAGAGAGTTGAATAACTGAATAACATAATCCTAATAGGTTTCTCTTATTTTTTTTCTCAGAGATCTTTCCTATTTCGCTTGCCAATAATGTCCTTTTATAACACATTAGTTCTTATGACAATCCTATAACATGTTAGTTCTTATGACAAAAACCGATTTTACGTTTATTCTCGAAGAGATATAAAAATGCGGTTTGCACCAATGAAGATCCCATGAAATTTGAGCTTCAGAGTAGGGGATTTACTTTTTCGCATCTCACTCAGAAACTGACGTTTCTTATTAGAAGTGTCTAAATTGGCCCACCCTGTACTTAATACTCAAGTGGAAATAGGGTATGATACATGGAATAAGAACCGATTTTAACGTGGAATCCAAAAATGGGTGCGTCCATTTAAGAGTAAGCGAAATGGCCTCTCTGGGACCGATCAAAGTGAAGAGTTTTATCAGGAGTACTGTGACAGAGAGCAACGTAAGAATAATATTATCGTTTTTGGTCACCCTGAACCCACGTCGGAGGAGGAGGACGGTATGGATTCTGCTGATAGACAAAGTGTGTGTCCAGCATTTGACTTATCAAATATTTTGCACGTATCGCGTCTCGGCCGTGCTCAAAACTCTGCCAGCCTTCCACGTCCTTTGAAAATATGCTGCAAAGATAGTGGCACTGTCGTCGGTGTGTTGAAGCAGTGCTACAAAATTAGGAATAACCCACGGCAGCATCTTACAGTTGCCTCAGACAAAACCCCGAAACAGATGCAGTTTTACAAGAGTGTTAAGGAACAGTTGATGCAGCGCAAAAGCGCTGGTGAGCTGGACTTAAGAATTAAGCACATCAGGGGCATTCCCACGATAGTGAAAATTAACAACACAATATCGGAAAACTAGATGCATCCAACAGGGGTAATCCCATTTCTTCAACTATACACTGCTGCTATCAAAACGTTCGCAGCTTAAACACAAAAATCCTGGACTTCCAAACAACTGTCGCGGCGTCTGGAATGGACATTATCGCTGTTGCGGAGACATGGTTAATGCCCGACATTGGAAATTCCGAAATTATCCCAGAATTTTATGATGTATATCGCAGTGACCGCAAGTTCGACCGTGTGGACTCCACTAGGGGAGGAGGAGTGCTTCTTGGCATCTCCACTTCCTTCAAATCACGCCTGGTCTTACTGCCGGATCTGGAGGCAAGTGTACCACTTATAGACTTTGTCTGCTGTAGAACGGTTATCGAATCCTTCATTATTTTCATATTTGTGGAACTTTTTTTCGACACATTGGTTTCACAAAACCTTCTTCAAAATAAAAAAATCCTTATCGTAGGCGACTTTAACGCACCCCTTTTCGTTAACGACGAATCAGTAGATCAAAAGAGTAGAATTGTGAAGAATTTCATGGCCATATCTAAACTCTCCCAATATAATGGCATTCTAAATAGCCACAACCGAATGCTGGATCTTGTCTTGTCTAATGTTCCCTGTAATGTTGTAAGGAATGACGTTCCTCTTGTAAATGAAGATGCATACCATCCGTCTCTCTGTTTTGATTTTGATGCTTCATTCACACATGTTAACAACTTTGCGCTAAACAAATATCCACCAAAAGAGTTTAATTTTCGAAAGGCTAATTTCCCTTTATTGTACGAATCTGTCCTTAATGCTGATTGGTCTGCTGTGTATGCCGCGACTGGTGTGGATGATGCATGCTCGGCCCTGTACAGTGTTCTTAACCATATTTTTGAATGTTGTGTTCCCCTGAAAATAAAACGGAGTCGGAGATATCCCTCATATTATACGCGGGAGATTATTAATAACATCCGCAAAAGGAAGTTGCACGTAAAAGGTATCTTAAATTCCGAACTCAACTTTGCTCTGAACAGTTTAACACACTTCGTAAACTAGTGAAGTCTCAAATTAAAAAAGCTTATATTGGGTACATTGAAGGTGTTGAGCTGTCTATCAAAAATGATCCCAAAACTTTTTGGCCGTTTATCCAGAGTAAAAAAAAACCAGACCACAATTCCAGGCGAGATGCATTTTGAAAATGCACAACACTCAAATGCGCAGGACATAGTTAATGCTTTTGGCACATTTTTTCACAGCGTCTACACTGAGTCCGTTCCAAGCTACGGTGAGTCAATTCCATTATGTAATAGTAACATTGACTTACCATTTATTGAATTAAATGATATAATCAGAGCGGGTAAAAGGCTCAATAACAAGTTTTATAGTTAAAGATTGCCTTGGTGTTCTGGCTGACCCTCTGCAATTTATTTTTAGCTCATCCTTGAAACCAGCTGTTTTCCTTCAGGATGGAAAGTGGCAAAGGTAATTCCAATCCACAAAAAAGGCGATCGCTCATTAATAACTAACTATAGACCTAGGTATATCATTACTCTGTAATTTCTCTAAGATTTTCGAAATAGTTATACACAATAAACTTTATCCATTGGTTAGGGGCTTGCTGTCTGAGGAGCAACATGGCTTTATGAGTGGCCGGTCATGCATGTCCAACTTGTCCTGTTTATCCCATAATTTGTGCACTACTTTGGACAGTGTCGGCCAAGTCGACGTAGTATACACCGATTTTCTTAAAGCCTTTGATCGTATTGATCACTATATTTTGACCAATAAGTTGCACGCCTTGGGCTTTTCGGATGGGCTGGTGAATTTGCTTAAGTCTTACCTGTTGGATAGAAGTCAGTTTGTACAGTGTGAGGGCTTCAGATCATTCCTATTCAATTCCTCATCTGGTGTCCCGCAAGGGTCTAACTTGGGCCCTTTCCTCTTTAACATCTTTGTATTTTGAATGATTGGTGCAAGGAAAACAGGCTTTTTTGAATGATGAGAAGTGCAATATTATCAGTTTCCACAGAAAAAAAAATCATGTTGTATTTGACTGTACCATTGAAGGTACCTACTATATTGGCTCGGCTCAATCAAATCAAGGATTTAGGAGTGATATTCGATAGCCGTTTAACTTTTGTACCTCATGTTGACGCAACAAGTGCATCAGCCCTCAAGACGCTTGGCTTTGTTTTCAGAAACAGCAGACATTTTTCAAATCTATTTACCTTTAAACTTTTGTATTACACTTTTGTAAGGTCAAAGCTTGAGTATGGTGCAATTGTGTGGTGTCCTATATATGATTGTCATGTTAAATCTATTGAAACTGCCCAGAGACTATTTCTTAAATATTTAGCAGTTAAGGTAGATGGTGTTTACCCCCCAAGGGGCGTTGATCATCATCAGCTACTTGAGCGATTCAGCGTTCAATCTTTGGCCGACCGAAGAAAGGTTCAAGCAGTGAGGTTTTTATATAATCTCTTGCATCATATTATAGACTGCCCATACCTAGTCGCTGAAGTGTTGTTTCATGTTCCACGCATTGGGGGCAGATATAGTCGGACATTTCATCTGTGCACAGAGCTAGATCTAACGTCTTATCACAGAGCCCAGTGTATCTAATGTGCGCTGTTTACAATACTGTGTCGGGCGAATGTGATATTAATCATGATAGGCTGTCGCGGATTGTTGGTGCTCTTTCCATTGGGCATTGATTGATTATTAGCTTTAGGTTTCTTGCATTGGTGAAAAAAAATGTTTTTGTTTTTTTTTTTGTTTGTTTGCATTTATTATTATTATTATTATTATTATTTTTTTGCTCTGTTTTTGTTATTTATCTATAATTTAGCACGGTATATGACAATAGCTATAGTGTGCTGTTGTGCACGATTTTCTATATAGTTTTTCTTTAAATTGTATGTGTTTTTTCCTGTAATTGGGTTTATTCCTGTTGGAAATAAAGGCTTATTATTATTATTATTATTATTATTATTATTATTATTATTATTATAAGAGTATTGAAGGACAATGAATGTTTTTACTATAATTCCTAGAATATTTCATTAATTATATAAGTATTACTCATTTTATAACTTTAAACGTTCTAAATGGCTCATCGAACTTTTTACAGTGTTTTAGCTTGAACTTAATGGAGAGTTCTAGAGCATTTTAGAAGTTTTTCAGTAATTTGCAAATTGTTCTGACAGGTATAAATTGGTTCAAAAGAGTTCTAAAAGGTTTCCAGTTCTAAATTGAATCCCTCAATTATTGGAACACCTTCTGAAAAGCATTTTGTAACTTTTAACCTGAATCCTTAAAGATTCTGGCGCTTTTCAAAATACTTATGGAGATTCTAGTGTGTTTGAGTGTTTTGGACCGTCCTAAAATGAGTTTCAAACTTCTGAATTGTTCTAAAATGCTTTTGGAAATTGTAAATAGGTTTTTGAAGCATTCTAAAATGATTCTAAAGTTTCCAAATTGTTCTGAAGTGTTACAGGATGCTTTCGGAAATTCTGAATTGAATTTTAAGTGTTCTGAACTATTAAAAAGGCTCATTAAAGTTCTGTAGGATGTCCACACTACATCTCCTATCTCCATCAGTCCAAAAAGGCGCTTTATTGCTATTGAAATTTCTGAAAGAGAAGGGATTTTTGATTATAAATACCAAACAAAGTCTACTTTACCGCATAGTGTGTGGTAAACTGTTACTTTCCGCTTGCAAATAAGTGCAGACTGTGCGGTAAAGTGCACTTTCGTAGGTCAATTACCAGAATAAAAAAATGAAGGAAAATTTCAGAACAACAAACTAGTCCCCAGTGCAATCAGAGCAACCTAGAGTCTGATTCCACGATCTAAGGATTCCACTGGGAACAAAAAGTGCCGGTAGAGCTAGTGCGGAACTGTTTGCACTGGGGGCAAAAAGTGCCGCACCAGTTTTCTGTCTAGCGAAATTTGCTTCGTCAGTTTTCGCTTTCGTCGCCAAACCGACCGAGCCGAACCGAGAACTAATCAATGAAGGATGAAGGTGTGTTTCTGATAAATTTCCAAGGTTTTTAATGTTTTTATAAAAATTCGTAATCGCAGATAAACAAGTTTCTCGTTGTTTATGTGCTCCAAAAAAAAACAACGTTAATTCCCTCGCCTAATTAATCCACCTCACGATGACATAGTCGGTCGGTTCGGTGCTATCGGCGCAGTTTTGTATTTTCGTTTGAAGGACTAGGATCTATAGAAGAAAAACGCACTTTTGGCAAAGATGAGCTCCAAGTTGAAAAAGAAACATTTCCGAGTAAAACACCAAAAGGTCAAGCTATTCAGGGCCAACGAACCGTTTTTGAGTGTTTTCATGTGGGGAATTAATCACACGGTAAGTGATTACTGATTTGTTTATTTATTTATTTGTTTATGAACTGATAAACTCTCACATGCCTAGCCATTCTACAGGGCAACAAAATACCTATTTTAAATTCAAACCCATTTAGTGTATAGATCGAATGCAATATTACAAAATATGTCGTGAAAATATACTTACTAGAACTGGGAGTCTTGGGTAGGTAAAACATCAAACAATAATATAATAGGTACCTAATCATTGTACAGGGTGTTTTTATTTTACTTTGACACCCCACCTACAGCCTTTACCTTTACAGGTAGAAGAAAGGTGTAAATACAAAAGTCGTACTTACAGTTTTGGCTAAATTTTTAGAATCCATGGTAAGAAACAAAAACTGAATGTCAGAAATGTGAAATTTTGCATGCTTTCAGCTTTTTTCAAATGGGATACCCTTCATTTGGTTTTATATTCTTGAAGAGCACAATGCCCCGATTCCAAAAATATATAGTTTCTCTATATTTGGTTGAGCAGTCTCCTAAATATTTCACTCCAAAAATTGTAAAAATACTATCCTACTAAAGCCCGCCAGTACAGGTGAAAGCTGCAGGTAAAATTTGAGGTACTTGGTTTCGTTGATAGTCTTTTTAAAATTTTAGATCTAAATAGAGATGGATTTAAAAAATTTATCCAAAACTGTGTAACTTTTGTATTTACACCTTTCTTATACCTGTTATGTTAAAGGCTGTAGGTGGGTTGTCAATACATAAAAAAACACCCTGTATGTACAGTGGTTAAAATGAAAAGGAAAGTATATGGAAAATATGCCAAAACCAACATCTCAATAATACACAAACATTCACTTTTTAAAGCTTTCGAATTGGCAACCTAACATAGATTAAAAACCTACAATTTGCCAGAAAGAATTATTATAGCCAAGATTATAGCTGGTCAGATAGACACTCAGGTTTTTTAAGTTTGTTAAAGGCATTATCTGTATTGGCTTGTAGAAGATCAACTTCTCATAAAATCTCTCTCATGAAGGAATGAAGATAGGAAACATTTCATTTTATGATTTTTCAACCACAGTTGCGTTTCGAACTATCAGGTCTTCTCAGAGTGGTTAGGCATAGTATGGCAGTGTCTGTAGTCTGTAGTGTTGTCATCTATAGTATGATTGTGTTGCCATTTTTGGCAGTCAGCACAGTATCAAATCAAATCAAAAAATACTTTATTGTCCAAGAAAATCAAATTTCTGTTGACAAAGCATGATATTATACATTTCCTAAATTACAATAAAATTATAACACAAAAATTTGTTGCTAAAGCTAAAAAACATCAAAACCAAAAGCACAAAAGGTAAAAGAACAAGTACTATAAAAATACAAAATGCAAAAAAAAAATTAAAATAAAAAAATAAGCAAATAACATACCGGGTGACAATGAAACTACTACCCACGGCGGCATTTCTTAACGGCTCGAGATAGAAATATACAATTCCGTATGTCGATAGGGTTGAATATTTTGAACAATTTTAATATGAAAACAACTGAATGGCTTTACCGGTTTCACCGTAAATGGCATTGACTTTGTTATTTCAAATGGAACACCCTGTATATTATCTTTTTTTGGACTCTCTAAATAACTTTTGTCAAAATACCCTATGTCAAAAATTGATAGTTTTTGAAATAGAGTGGCTCAAAAATATGTCGTAATTCCTATTTGTATTTTACGTAAAAACTGAGTATGCCAGAACAAAAAAATCACACATTCAATTGTTTTTATATTAAAATTGTTCACAATTTTCAACCCTATCAACACACCGAGTTGCATATTTCTATCTCGAGCCGTAAAGAAATGCCGCCGTGGGTAGTAGTTTCATTGTCACCCGGTATACTTAGTGATAAAAAAAGTCTCATATCTCACATAAAGTTGTCTGTAAAAAACTCTTCCAGGGTATAATATGCCTTAGTCAGTAGAATGCCCTTAAGTAACCGTCTAAAGCACTTTACACTGTTGGCAGTCTTAACGTGAATTGGCAGATGGTTGAAAATTTTTCTGCCATTATAAATAACTGACCTTTTGGTCAGTTCTTTTGTTGGAATCGGCAGAGGCAGATCAGCTGAATGCCGAGTGTTATAAGGCGTAGTTACACCCTGAAACTGGATGCTCAGTCTGTTCTTATAAATCAGTGAGGCTGTCTCAAGGATAAACAAAGAGTATAATGTCAGGATATTCTGCAACCGGAAATGGGGTCTACAAGAGTCCCTTCGGCCAATGTTTGTTATAAAGCGTACTGCTTTCTTCTGCAGAATAAACAATATGTTTAGAAGATATTGACTACTTGCACCCCAGAAGGGAATCCCATACCTCAGATGAGACTCAAACAGTGCAAAGTAGATCATTCGAGCCACAGCCGAACCAAGCTCCCTGTGTGCAATTCTAATCGCAAAGCATCCCGATGACAGTTTCCTGCTAAGCCTAATTAATGGTCCTCAAAACGTAACCCACCATCGACAAATAAACCCAAAAATTTTGTACAGGGCTGGTCCTCGAGACGATTTCCTCCCAGATTCAAACCCGTCATGTCACATCCAAACCCAACAACATTAGTTTTATTGACATTAAAACAGAGGCGGTTAGAATCACACCACTGTTTGATTATGATAAGGTCAGATGCGATGTCCTGTTTAAGTTGTTCCACATTTTTATTGCGCCATACAATTGATGTATCGTCGGCAAAAATGGTGAATTGGCCCGATATCCGCACCCCGACAAGATCATTTATATATATTAAAAACAGCAGTGGTCCCAAGACAGACCCCAGGGGAACACCGCACCCAACAACTCTCGCCGACGATCTTACCCCCGATGCGATCACAGATTGGCTTCAACAATTTAGATAAGAATGAAACCATGCGAGTGAAGATCCCCTAAAGCCGTAACGCTCAAGCTTTGACAGAAGAATTCCATGATCCACACAGTCGAAGGCCTTGGAGAGATCACAGAAAACCGTTGCCGCAGCATCTCCTTTATTAATGTGGTGGTAAACAGTTTCCAAAAAATTGAACATGGCATCATGAGTACCTTTGGAGCTTTGAAATCCAAATTGCTTTAGAGTAATTATATTATTCGCCTGGAGGTAGTGCCAAACCCTTTTTTTTACAATTTTTTCAAAAACTTTTGAAACAGTAGGCATTCAAGAATATACTGTGAAGGTATTGATGTAAGAATACTAAAGTGTCATTCACATCCACTTAACTTAACCTACAGAAAATTAATAATAGAGAAAAGTTGAAGATCATGTACAGGGTCATTTTTTATATTTTCCCACCCCTCTTAACTTTTTTGTGTCACCGTGTATAAAAAAAAAGTAAATAGAAATGTTGTAGTGCTTGAAAAATAGTTCCCAGAAAACATACAGCTGTATGCAACATCCTCTTTTAACTTAAAAGCGCTTTTTAAAACTGGTCAGTTTTAAAAATATGTATTCTAAACCATACAAATTTTTAAAGGTACCAGTTTTAAAAAGCACTTTTAAGTTAAAAGGGGATGTTACATACAGCTAATAGTCTTGTTCATACAGGGAGTTGCAAAAAGTCTAAAAAACAAAAAATATATTTTTTTTAAATGGGACATCCTGTATATTATGACATTTCTGGATTCTGCGGAAAATTCCAGACATATTTCATGTATAATGTCATATACCTATTGTCAACTGATTTGGAAATAATTACAGTAGAAAATTGACTTTTTTGCATCTTTGACAGACTGTAAAACCTAAACGGCTGATTTTACAGCAAAACCGATCATACATGCTTTTTCTATTTTTTTATAAAATATCATTTGACACCAGCTTTGAATTTATTCCATGATTGAAAATTCCAATTAAATTTAATCTCCGGTTAAATTCAAAGTTGGTGTCAAATGCTAGCTTATGAAAAGCTGTAGACAAGAATGTAAAATCGGTTTGGCTGTAAAATTAACAGTTTAGGTTTTACAGCCTATCAAAGTTGCAAAAAAGTCAATTTTTACTGTCAATATTTCCGAAACAGTTCAAGATAGGTATATGACATTATACATGAAATATGTCTAGAATTTTCCGCAGAATCCAGAAATGTCATAATATACAGGGTGTCTCATTTAAAAAAAAAATATATTTTTTTTGTTTTTTAAACTTTTTGCAACACTCTGTATGAACAAAACTATGTTTTCTGAGAACTATTTTTCAAGCACTACAACTTTCCTATTTAAATTTTTTTTATACACGGTGGCACAAAAAAGTTAAGGGGGGTGAAAAAATATAAAAAATGACCCTGTGCTTATATGTAATTGTTTACATTCACTTAAAAATTAAGAAAATTAATGTAACACACGGAAAAGTTGAACCACTTTTAACTTAAGGGAATCTCGAGGGAAATCTATACGTTAATTTCTCAGTTAATTTCAATAATAATAATGAATTATAGACAGATTGAACTATCTGTATCCAACCGATACACCAACCTACGGAGCGACAAACAACAAAACCTTCAAAAAAGTTCGTTGCTATTGGTCATTTATCAGCCCGCTGTACACTGTAGAGTGACGTTTTGTAAGATTTTGAAATAAATAAATGGGATAAATCAGTGTTTAGTGTAAACCTGGCCGCCAATCTGACTCTGTCATAATAAACATAATAGACTTTAATAAACTTTATTAACGGACAAGTCATTTACAGTAAATAACATAATACAAAAATATATGACATTATAATATTAAAGAAAAACACAAGAATTTAAAATTTACCATTTACAGTACATATATAAATACACTGACATTTAGCGCTGCAGACCATTCAACAGTTGTTTACAAGTTTTCAGAGACATGCCAAAAAAATCAAAATTGTTGGGTGGCTGATTAGCTTCTCTGCATATTCTAGCCATAGGGCAGAAAATAGCTATTTATACAATAAGTTACGAAATGAGCGTCTTTTAGGCACGCGACGTGAAAATTGTCCAACGAGGCAAAGCCGAGTTGGACAACACGTCGAGTGA